TTTTTAATATTGCTTATGTTAGCAGTGGTTTATTGATGTTGTTTTATTTTGAGATTGTTTATTAATGCCTCTTTAGTTGTATTTCAGTGATTGTTTAGATGTGCCAACGAGCTTAATTGGTAACTTTGTGTTAATGTTAACTGATCATGTTTTAATGATGCTTAAATAAACTCGATATTCAACTATATACATGCATTCACACATGTTTTGATGTTTGCACATAACTTCTTTAATTTGCTAATTTGCTTTCTGCAGTTAATGAACCTTGTTTCATTGAGGCATGTGTAGCCATAATACCTTTGGTATTGCAATGTGCAACTTGACCTGGGATTCAGTTTATTACTCTTTTTGTGTTTTATTATCAGTTTAAATTCGGTTTAATATGTTTTTGTACTTGAGTTCCTGTAACACCCGGTTCCTGGTACGTATTTAAATTCAAGTAATTTTGTAATTTACTCTGGGACTCGGCGAGTTGGAGGTCCAACTCGTCGAGTAGACTCGACATTATGCGGGGGTTTTAGTGATCTACTCGACGAGTCGGGAGACCGACTCGATGAGTAGGATCTGTCTGGACAAAACCCTAATGTTTAGGGTTTGCACCCTATTTAAACACTTTATCTCGTCCCAAACCAGCCTCCATCACCCTCCCAACTCAGAGAAGCCCTAGATTGAAACCCTAAACCCTTATTGAGTGTTCTTGAGCCTTTTGGTTCCTTTTGTGTGTGTTTGAAGTTGGAGAAGAAGAAGGAAGCTTAGGAGTTCAAGTAGAAGCAAGAAGATCCAGAAGTTTTACTCCATTCTCAGCTCATTCAAGGTAAAAAGTCGGAACATTGACCATCTATCTCTTAGATTTTGATTTGGGGCTATTCTTCTACCCTTTTTATGATCATAGTGAAGCTATAATCGGATTTTGTATGTGTGCTTGGTGTTGCACTTCAGATCTGGAGCTATTGGGGGTCCATATGGCATAAAGGTGCCAACTTTGTTGCCATAAGCACCTCATGCATCTTGTAGACCTCTTTTTATGGCTTTTTGAGCCAAATGCCCCATGCATGGACATCAACTTTGTAGCTTTACGTATAAAATGGACCCTAGGAGGCCAGATCCATGGTTTTGATGCGTTAAGACCCATTATAATCAACTGTATAGTTTTGGACAAAGAGGGACTCGGCGAGTCGTTCATGGGAATCCGCAAGTCGGGGCGTATTTTCCACCAAATCTTTTCTGTTGATGGACCAGATGCTAAGATCGAAGGTCCCTCGGTTGTTTAGGCTCACTAGGGACCTGGAAATCATAAAACTCGGCGAGTGGATGAACAGAATCGGCGAGTTCAAGGAAATGTTCCAACCACATGAAGATGGACTCGGCGAGGTCAAGGGGAAATCGGCGAGTCATAGACTGAACACCTTCTTATGGATGAAGATAAACTCGGCGAGTTCAAGGTCGGTTGAAGATAGTCTGATGTGTTGTTGAAAGCGAACTCGTCGAGCTCTTGCTAGACTCGACGAGTAGGGAAGTGATTATGGCATTTTGTAGATATGGGGACTCAGCGAGTTGGTGGACCAACTCGGCGAGTCGAGTCAACCAGATGTTGACTTTGACCTTATGATTGACCATTGACCAAGGTGTTGACCTTGACTTTGTCTTGGACTTGAGTTGACCTTTGTAAGGGTTACGAGTACGAATTGATAAGTTAGAAAAGTTGTTTGTGTAGGGATTGAGGATTCGAGGAGAGTTGGTTTTCATACCGAGATCAGTGTAGACACTACACGACTTTGAGGTGAGTTTTCTCCTAGTAGGAGTAGGTCTACGGCCACAATGCCGGCCCACAAGTAAGAGTGTTGGATAGATGATTGTCTTTGTGATAATTATCTAGTGTTGATATGAGATATGATTATTATGCCTGATATGATTATTGTGCTTGATATGTTTACTGTGCTTGATATGTGTTAGCAGTAGTAGGGGGTGAAATAGTCCCCGGTTACCGGTTGAAAGATATCGAAGGGGAGGGTAGCTCCCAGTTACCGGTTGAAAGATACCGAAGTTGAGGTTAGTTCCTGGTTACCGGTTGAAAGATACCGAGGAGGAGCCCAGCTCCTGGCTATGTGCGACAGTTATCGGTTGAAAGATACCGAAGATTATGCATTATTTGGTATGAGTATGATGGGGGAACTCACTAAGCTTTGTGCTTACGGTTTTTAGTTTTGGTTTCAGGTACCTCTTCATCTAAGGGGAAGGAGCCAGCGGGGTAGCAGCGCATCACACATTCACACATGATATTCCACATTTGAGAAACCTGGGATTGTACTATGATATTATACTATTTACTAATATGGTTTTGAGACTTGTGATTTGTGACTTTATGTTTGAAAGTATTTTAAATGTTGTTTTCTGTTAACTGTTTTACAAGTAATATACTTTAAACAAAGAATTTTGGGTCTCGATTTTGGGATGTTACAGTTCCTTTTTACTTTAAGCACTTCAAACGTAGCCATACTTAGGTTATTTTTTTCTCATTTGCAGAATGTACAAAATAATTTGTTGATTATATATAGCACTCGAGTGCTTGAGAAAGAGTATTTTCAATGTGGCTCCTTGCTTATAGATGATAAAGTGTTTGATTTCACACCGAGGATCGTGACATGAGTTTTAGGATGTGTTAGTAAGTTATCCATATCAATTGATACCAGTTGGATGATCTCATGTGGATGTTTAGACTTTTCATAAGAGTTGTCTAAGGATTGGGTCCTGTTTTATGATTATTGCTTTATGCTACCCTAGCATGTTTTTCACAAGAGTGCAAATGACAATCATGCAAGGGTGAATCTGATCCTCTCAAATTTGAAGCAACAAATTGGTGATTTTTCTACCAAAGTTTTGTTTTCTTGAGGCTTTCTAGCATATTGATTTATGCTCAGTTTGATCTATTATGTTAATTTCTACTTCCAGTAACAGATTTGGCATTAGCCATTGGCAAAGGAAAATCAGTCCCTTCATCAACACAAATATACAATTATCTAAAAGTAATATGTTTGTCAAATACCAATCATGGAATGTACTTAACTTTCACTGTTCTTGCTACTGGTATTTGGCCTACCTACAAAAATGGTATGTCTTCTTTTTAAAAGCTGGTTTTTAGAGGTTGAAGTTCATACCCATTTACCAAAATGGGTCCATATTGGATCATATTTTATCTTCAACAGGTCATATGGGTCGAAAGTTGATGAAAGTGTATTAAATTGCTTAGAAGTTAGAACCTTCCAAATTGTTTCATCAGAAAACTAGATTATTATTTTAGTAGTATAACTTTTATAGTTATATCTAGGGTTTAGGTCATTTTTGGTCACTTAACTTTTGGTTTTATGCTCATTTGGTCACTTAACTATTTTTAAGTTTTAAAAGGTCATCAAAAATTTGATTTTGTACTCATTTAGTCACTTAACTTTTGGTTTTGTCACTTAAGTTTTAGATTTGTGCTCATTTAGTTACGTAACTTTTAAAATTATGCTCATTTAGTCACTGAACTTTTAAATTTTTTTAAAAGTTTAGTGAATAAATGAGAACAATTTTAAAAGTTAGATGGCTAAATGTGACCAAACCAAAAGTTAATTGACTAAATGAGCATAAAGCCAAAAGTTTGATGGCCATTTAAAACTTAAAAAGAGTTAAATGACCAAATGAACACAAAATCAAAAGTTAATGACCAAAAATGACCTTAACCCTTATATCTAATACGTTTCTTATACATAAATTACAAAAAAATAGCCAAAAAAATGCTAGTGGGCCAACCCAACCTGAATAGCTGAAACGTAAATTTTTTATTACTAAGTGGCAAAATAACTTGGTTGGGTAACGGGTCAAAAAGGATATTTTATTTATTGCAGCTCAGAACAGGCTGGTTCATAAATAACTTAAGTGTTATAATTTTTTTATAGAAATCTGTTAAAGTAGTAAGGGATATATACAGTAAAGTCCCGAAATTTTCATCAAATTGACATGAAAGTCCCAAAATTAATTTTTTTTGACACAAAAGCCTGAATTGCCGGCATTGATTGACCCGATTGACCTTTTTTGTCGGTGCAGCCGGTTTACTTTGTGAAGTGGCACCAAATGCTTACGTGGACCACTGATTCATTAAATGAGAGGCTTATGTGGAGTTGTCGACCTTACTTAAGCACCAGACCCTCGATCCTCATGAACCCTAGCTTCGTATTTTTCAAAGGGAAAGACGAGAATGTCGTCTTCTTCATCTGTTGGAAGCAAGGCTGTGAGAAGGTTCAATCCCCCTCAAAGGACACATTGCGACTGTGGTGACTTGGTTGGAAGGTGGACTTCATGGAAGACAGGAAATCCTGGAAGAAGATTCATTGGATGCCCAAATTATAGGGTTAGTTGTTAATGTTGAAATTCTTCATCTTTTAGGTTTTTTTCTTTCTTTAATCTTGGATTATCCAAGATTCGAGTAAGGATTGCAAAATTCTTTGATTTGGTGGATCCTCCACTCCCTAATCAGTGGTACAAGGACTTGCTCTTACAATTGCACAATGGGTGGAATGGAGATGTTGTAGAACAAATGGAAGAAGGTGTAGGTGGTGTTGTTCCAGGGTGGTCAATGATGTGGTTTATTTTGGGTTTATGTTTTGGTTTGTATTTTAAGATAATGTAGTAACTATGTACGATGTTGTTTCTTTTGCAATGTAATCAACATTTTAGTTGTGTTGTGTTGAATTATGGTGAAATCAATGTACAACCTACTATGAACCTAATATGAACAATAAAACTGTCATTAACTAAGGCTAACCTGCACAACCAAATTTGAACTACAATATAAAATTGACCAATTGTTACCATTGCTTAATTACCAGTAATTGTTTACAAAATATGAACCAAAATATGGTATGCAACAGTTTACAAAATATGAACCAAAAGATGATATGCACCAAATTGAGGAGATATAACCCCTATCCCTAATCTATAGTAAATGCCTTATCTTGAGACATTCATATACCAAGAGGGTCAACCACCTTCTTTTTTAGCTTCTGAAGAATTATCCTCTCTGAGGGCCTCCTTGTTCTTTGTTGCATATTATTCCCAAAATGCCCTTGCTGTATTGGATCATTTAGTGGAACACCTTCTTCATTTCCTTGAACATCTTCAGCTTCCACTTCAACTCCTCCACCTTCTTCATTTCCTTGAACAACTTCAACTTCAACTCCTTCCACTTCATCCTCTTCTCCATCTCCTTCTCCATCTTCTTCTTCTCCATCTACTTCTCCATCTTCTTCTTCTCCATCTCCTTCTCCATCTTCTTCATTCCCCTCTCCATCTCCTTCTTCTTCATTACCTTGTCCATCTCCACCTCCTTCCACTCCATCTCCATCTCCTTCCACTCCATCTCCTTGTCCATGTCCTTCTTGTTCTTCATTACCTTGTACATCTCCTTCCAGTCCACCTTCAACATTGGCAGCCTAAAACAGAAAAATAAAATAAAATTAGTAAGAAACAATGAATTATATACATAAACACTAAATGAAACCTTACCACATATCCAAACTCTTCTAAATGAGCTTTTGTAATTCCAAGGCATCTCATAATTTCTACATCAGTGTAACCTGATTTCCTCAACTCTGTAATTTGTTCTATAATGTAGTCCATATCTATCATATCCAACCCATCTCCATCACTCACCACATCTACATCCACCATCTCTTCAGATTTATATTTTTCATTGACCCTTTTTTGGGGTGGTACTGTATTTGAGGTTTCACCTCTTTCAAATTTATATTCTACATCCACCATCTCTTCAGATTTATATTCTACATCCACTATCTCTTCAGAATCACTAGCACACACACAATGTAGTCTAACACTATCACATTTTTTAAACCTAATCTGATAACCTTTAGATATGGCATGATTTGTTAAACAAAGTTTAAGTTGATGTGGAGATTCATACCTTTCTCCCTCTTGAGGTTTCATTTCTATTCCATTTCACGTTTGGATCATGTGTGGAATATTTAAACTCAGCTTGACTATCATTTGCCTGTTCATCCACAGCTTCATCTACATTTTCTTCCTCCTCCTGTTCCTCATTCAAAGGTTCTTCTTCCGCGGGTGCTTCATCATCTTCAACATTGTCGAATAATGGGATTATGAAGTCTTCATCTTCATCATCAAGAGACAGTGAGTTCAAGAAGTCATCTCTACATCTTCTACTATGTTTCTATAGAAGGTCTTCATCTAGTTCCACGTCGATTGTGTCAAAGTCCAACACACCTTCCATCTTCAAGGCGCCAACTCGTATCTCCCTCAGACTCGAATTCGTATCTCCCTCACAGTAAAAACCCTAGAATCGTCGCAGTAGAAAGAGAGGTTTTTCCAGCTCGATTAACCCTTCTTCATTTAATGATGTCCTCGTCACCTTCCAGGTAAACGTTAGTAGCCACATCAGCTCGATTACCGGCTATTAAATGAGTTACCGGAAAAAAAGGTCAATCGGGTCAATAAATGCCGGTAATTCAGGCTTTTGTGTCAAAAAAATTAGTTCGGGACTTTCGTGTCAATTTGATGAAAATTTCGGGACTTTAGTGTATATATCCCAAGTAGTAATCTACATTTTTTTAGCATGGCGTGGCTTTGTCAAGATTTCGGAATGATTTTTCATCAATTGAGTTAGGTTAAGATTTTCGCTTTCATAATCTGATAGAACCCAAGGGAAGACGGGATACTGGGTAAGATCATTGTACCCACGACCCGACCCGACCCGCGAGTGTGTTGAGATGCATCAAGTACACTGGAAATTACTAATTTCTCCATTTGCAGAAAGATTTTGCCATAATCTTGAAAGCACTTTCTTGTTTTGCTACTCCTGATATCGTTGTGTCCATCAACAAGTAAACAAATGTTATCAATGATTGTAAAAAAGATGATAAAAAAACAAGAGAGATCTTACATGCTTCATTACTGACAAATTTTTATAAACTTCTTCACTTTCCTTTTTATGAAAACCCAGAAGATCATTAGTCATTACATCCATCCATGCTAAATAAGTAAATATCTCAACAGCAACAGGACGAAGCTGGTAGATTTCATCTAACACTATTAAGCTTCCACATTCCCACCGTTTGTCACTTTTTCCTTCCTCCATGCTCCACCATTGTAGGCTCATGCCCTATCCACAGTACTCGGCGGATCCAGAACCAAAACCAACAGGGGGCCAAAATATATAAAGGAAAAATATAATAAAAATTAATAAAAGAATATGATTTTCTTTAGTTTTTTTTTTTTTTGGTTTTTTTCAGCAAGAATGGGTGCCAAAAAAAACTTAATTGGGGCCAATTGTTTAATTACATACCAAAAACTATTTTTTTTGCTAAAATTTCCCATGGGATCTATTTTTAAGTGGGGCAATACACCTCACTTGTGATGCATTAAATCCGCCACCGGTGCTTTAACAGCCCAATACAAGAGAAATCATTTGTTACACACACACCTAAAGCCTGATCAATAACCGAAAGCTCATCTTCACATTCTTTCTCACAGATGCAACCTGTAGAAATTCTCTATCACATACAAACAAAGTTCCCCAATAAGAAAGATCCCATCATGTTTATCAAGACCCACAACCCTTTCACAATTATATCTGGATTTTACTTTTCTGTGTGTTCCAGATTAAATACTCCCTGTTGTTACCCGGTTATTTATCTTCTGTTCCTTTAACCTCATCAATTCTCATTGAAGCAGACTTTTTAGGAGAAGTCACAACCGATTTTCCTTGAATGGTCTCTGATAACGCTACGGTTGTTGAGTTGGACTTCATGCTAAATTCAACAGCAGAATGCAGAATGAAGACTTCCATCATTATTGCTACTATCTGTAAGAAATATTAGGGTTTATGGTAGAGATATGGATACCAACTTGGATCGTGAGAGCACTTTCCGAACTGATATTTCTACCCTATGCCTGGGTCGCAAGAAATTCAGCCTAGGATAATCCAAGTGGACACTTACGATTCTAGGTACAAAAATTGTAAGCCAATTTGCTAGAAAGATTATGTGAAAGTTTGAAGAAAACGAGAGCTAAATTGCGTGTCACTCTTCTGAGACGGAAGAGTCGTTTATATATTAAACGAGATTAGGGTTTTATTAGGGTTGAGCCGTCATTAGTTGCTTTGGAAGCAAGTCACGATAATCCGGATTTAATGAAGATTTAGGGTTACCAAAACTAACGAGTTTCGTTAGTTTTACCATAATCACCCTCAAAAATTGAATTTTCCACTATGTTCCCAGCTAGGGGCTCTGCCCCTTGAACCTCGCTAAGGGCGCTGTCCCTAGACCCTGCCAAAGGGGCGTTGTCCCTTTGGAAACCCCGGACCGAGGGGCGCTGCCCCCGGACCCCCGACTAGTCGTCGAACCGGTTTCTAATTCGATCTTATACATGTGTGCACTCCGCACCAACCCGTACATATATTAGAGTACAAATTAAGAAAATCATTAGCTCACATGTTAGTTCCAGTTACATAAAATGACATGGTGACACTAAAATCACCAAACACTATCCCGGTTATTCCATCCAGCCCTAATCGGACTTTCATCTTTTCCACCCTCTGATTCCTTAAAAACAGAATCTTCATACATTTCGTCACTACAAGATTCCTGTTTTCCATCGTTAAATAAAAGATTAGAGAAAGAACCGGAATTGGAATCGGAATCGCCAACGTCGTTTCCGGTTATCTGGTTAGACGGCTCTTCAAATTCAAACTTCCCGTTTAAAATGCTTTGCACAGTTTCAGCTCGCAACGATCCAATATCTTCGGCGTTCTATACTGCCATTCAGGTTCTTTGTTTGAAAAGGATTTGGTCATTGAGAATATCCCATAAGTTGTTGAAGATGTGTTTGCCATTGCCACTCACTTTCAGCATGGAGCACCCATTCATACTTATCGTGTCCAACAATAGACATTGCATCGAGAGCAATTCTTCTTTCATTGACTTGCTCCCAATTTCATTGAATCCCTTGAGGCCTTGACCTTCTTTCGTCGACCATCCATACCCGGGAACCTAACCGATCCAGCAACATACTCAACCCACAGCATATTGTTCCAAGGTTGTATTAACAATCAGTTGAGACAAAGAAGATAGATAGCCTTCCTTCCTGTAAGTAGAATATCCAAAACCGGTCCTTGGTTGGGTTTGGACTTTGGAGACAAGAATATGTTTCAGGATGTCAAGTGCTAAGTTTTGTGCATGTAGAAGTGAGATCAAGTTAATACAAAGACAGCAAATTAGATCGGTGTCAAGATTACTAGGGCAAAAGATGATTCTGCTATGTGCAACCAAAGAAACTCCAACTGATATCAAGAAAGGAAGGAAACAGGTTCATATTCTTGAAAACCACATCGAGTTGGTTTGTTCCTCTTGTGATTGTGATTGATAAAATCCCTTTTCCAACTGGAGGTGTTTGTTCGACTCTACCATCTTTATTTGTTAGCTGTAACATGGACAACAGGAATTCGAGTGAGGGAAAGCACCCATGTATACACGGTCAACCATCATGTAACATAACGCGTCTAGATTCAACGACCATCCGTCTTCTTCATCGTCACGTAAGAGCCTTCTTTCTAGAAACTTCATAACAAACCTTGGAATTGAATACCAATACTGTTTCTGCATCAACATATAAAGGAACAGTTTCTCGGTTACAAAATCAGCAACAACTTCTGAAATGAAGTCCAACAGAACACGGGTAACTACCCGGAATCATCCACATCAAGAAGCAGCTTTGGATATGATCAACTGTGTTTCAAATGTTTGGGATTTGTGGGGACCTAAAGTCTGGAGTTGAATCAAATTCAGTGATAGAAATGGAAGGAGATGCAAGTGGTTGATATTGAGATTTTTAAGTCATTGGAGCTTCCAAGCCAAGATGGCAAATCAAGATCCTGTGATGGAGAGTTTAGTGACTGAAACCTGGAAATGAACCTTCCGCCTCTTCACCATCATTTATGTTTTGAGGGAAGATAAAATAACTTTGAAAACACGATCGTATGCCATTGTTCAAGAAGCTCTTCTGACCAACAGATCTCAAGCAGCATAGCATGTTTCTAACAATAATATGCTCCTCTTGATATTGATATCACAATCCGGGGGGGACAAAAGTCATAATCACAAACTTTACAACGTGTTCCAGCTCAGAAATGAAAGATAACTCCTAAAAGGACAACTAGTTTTTCCAGTACAGGAACCTCAACATCGCCTCTTGGAGAGCTACAAGCAGATGTTGAACAAGGTTTATTCTACGCAAAATTCATAGAAACAAGATTTTCAAGAAATCTGTGTTGGAACTTCAGCTGCTACCCATACAGTCCAGTCAAGTAACACGTGCTCAACCATATCTGCATTTGCAATTTGATGTTTCGGGAGGAATGTCATTATTATCGAGTTCAGACATACGACTGAAACTATCTTGTTGTAAAGAAAAATCATCCATATCCTCATGAGAACTATCTGAAGAAACTTGGATGGTGACAGATTAAGGTCATCGAATTCATTCAGGGTTGCTGAAGGTGACAGATTATTCTGAGTTTCTTCCAACTTTTTGGGTTCAGGAAAAGAAGCCTCACGAGCAGCAATTTGGAAAAGGATCTCGCATATCAAACAGAGACATTCTGGAATGTAAAAAGAGAGCTAGCAAATGATACCCTCTACATGCTTGCTTGCATGTCTCTAACATTTTGTGGATTTTGATCAAGTGCACAAGCAAGGAGAGTCAATGCCATTTGCAGGTTTCTGCTACTTCAACAAGGGCTAACACAACAGATATTCTGTTGGGTTAATCGGTTATTTGAAAAGCAATAGGAAAGTTTTTTTTATTAGTTTTGTTTCCTAGTTTTAGAATAAGAGTCGAAGTCTTTTTTTTATGGTTTTAGAGGTTCATAAGGTATCTAATTAATTAGTATAAAAGTAGGCGTCATTTGTTTTAATGCAATTTACTAGTTCTTTCTTTGTTTTAACTTTAAGAGCAAGTTTTCTTCCACTACATTCTTCTTCTGTTTCCGTGTTCCTTACACCACAAAAGAAAACTAGTTTATTTTCTTACACTTGGTATCAGAGCGCGGTTTCGTTGAAGGGGGTGTGATTCGAGGTTGATTAGAAACAACCCCGATTTCTTTTAATCGGGCTTGTGAGAGACTAACCGGAGGCGTGGAGTAAACGAACGGGAAGACGTCAAAGTGGGTGGCTTTGATTCGGTTCGTTTTGCGGGTGACGGAAGACGGTAAAGGTGGTCGTGACCTTGTCTTATTATCCGGTGGAAGAGTGCTCTCGGAACAAGCTTGATTAAAGAAGTCGGGGTTAAGAAGAAAAGGATGTCGTTGGTTAAAGAAGGAGGTTCGTTGACATATCAAGTTCCGGTTTTGACTCCAACGAATTATCCGGTGTGGGCGGTTAAAGTCAAGTCGATTATGGATGCACATGGCATATGGGAGACGGTCGAACCGAAAACGTTAGATAAAGCACCAGATCAAAAGAAGTCAAAACAAGCTCTTGCTTTTTTGTTTCAAGCGATACCCGAAGACATGGTGTTGCAAATGGCGAGTTACACCGACCCAAAACAAGTGTGGGATGGGCTAAAAACACGGTATTTGGGAGTGGATCGGGTGAGAACAGCTCGACTTGCAACCTTAAAAAGGGAGCTTGAAAGTTTACGCATGAAGGAGGATGAAACGGTTGATGATTTTGTGACAAAATTATCCGGTTTAGCGTCAAAAGCAAGGAGTCTTGGATATGAGCTTGAAGAAGGTGATTTGGTAAAAAGGTTACTAGATTCGATGCCTAAGTCGTTTCTTCAAATCGTGGCTTCAATAGAGCAATGTTTCGAGTTGGATTCAATGTTATTCGATGAAGCGGTTGGTAGATTAAAGGCATACGAGGAGCGTATAAGAGGAACCGAGAAAGTGGAGGACACTCAAGGTGGGTTGTTGTTGGCTAGTGACGAAAAGTCACATGTTTGTAAGCATTGTGGCAATGAACGTTCAAATCGGGATGACTTTGGACGTGGCCGGGGAAGAGGTCGGGGGTCCGGGAGAAGTCGATATGGTAATGAACGTGTCCGGGATAAAAGTCACGTTAGATGTTACAAATGTGGTGAGCTTGGTCACTATAAAAAACGAGTGTCCTAAATGGGAAAAGGAAGAAGCGGGTCTAATCGAAGAGGAACCGGCATTGTTTTGAACGAGTGGCTCATATGACCAAACCGATTAAGGGGGTGATTGTTGGGTTAATCGGTTATTTGAAAAGCAATAGGAAAGTTTTTTTTATTAGTTTTGTTTCCTAGTTTTAGAATAAGAGTCGAAGTCTTTTTTTTATGGTTTTAGAGGTTCATAAGGTATCTAATTAATTAGTATAAAAGTAGGCGTCATTTGTTTTTAATGCAGTTTACTAGTTCTTTCTTTGTTTTAACTTTAAGAGCAAGTTTTCTTCCACTACATTCTTCTTCTGTTTCCGTGTTCCTTGCACCACAAAAGAAAACTAGTTTATTTTCTTACATATTCCACCAATAGGACGCACGGTTTCACCGACATAAACATCGCCGTGAAGACGTTCAAACCAAACCGTGGTATTCCTGCATGGAAAGTAAAAAAGATTCTAATTCAGAAAACATAGGGAGTTGTTTCAACTTGGGTTATTGACATAAAAGCACATCAAAGTTTGGAGTTTCGTTTTAAATGACCATTTGACTTTTTCTTGGACTTATAATACAAACAAACTTGAAGTTTGCCTGTCTAAAATACCATTTTGCTAAAAATTACCCGGTTTCCCAATTACATTGCTCATTTATACATTAACTTCTAATAGTCAAACATTTCCGAAGCCAATGGAATTAGATCCACCGCCAATTGCTAAATTGATCGGTGGTGCTATGATCTCCACGGAAAGGATTCAATCTGGCGAACTTATCAGAGATTGGTTCCTAGTTATTGGTCCATCCGGTGAACAACCAAAACCTAATTGAGTGACACGATTACAGCACCAATTTACCTCTTGTGAAGAGAAGAATGAAACATCAACCGACGGCGAGGAGTTCTTTTGCTTGAAGGATAGTTATTTTCCAGTGAGAGACGGTGGGATTAGGACTTTGTAACAGGATGTTCACACGATAGAAAGGAAGTCGCCGGAAGTTGATCTGGACGGAGGAGAAGATGGTGGAGAGTATAATTTCTTTAAGTAGAGAGGGTGTTGGGAGGATATTTGCCATGCTATATTGGAGGCGCATCATCTAGGTTACATTGTTGGTCGGGTAATTTGCGATAAGGCATAAGAATGATGATCATTTAAGATGGGGCATACATGCACATCAACGTTTTGATTGGAAGGAAGTGGATGGTGGAGTCAACGAAAGAAGTGTTTACCATGTTTCTCGATGTAGATGCCGACAATAACACCATAGTAGATGATCTCGAGTGGGAATTATTCCTAAATTCTCATAATCTTGAAGCAAATCCCATTATGACAGTGGCCAATAAATACAATGAGTGGCAGGTTTTCTTGAATGTTAACAATCTTGAAGCAAATCCAGGTTTAGCAGATCAGTTTGAAGACTACAATGATGCAGAACAACTGGTTCCAAAAAGGAGTCTTCGAGCAACGTGAAACGTCATCCAAACCAAGTGGATCCAAGTCAAGCCTCCATACACAGCAAATCTCTAAATTTCCGGTCTCATATAGTCTTTATGAGACCGGCAACGAGTATGTGAATCTAAAAATCGACAGTGTGTGTGATACATATTCTTTCTTGTACATAAAACCCTAATTCAATGTTGTGAGAGGAAGAAGTGTGAGGGAGCTGAGCGTGTTTTAAAGTGATGAATAATGCAGTCAAGATGCAATGCACGAATAAAAATGTATTTTAAACAAACATTTGACTATCAAAAGTCAATGTATTTTTGAGGTATTTTAGACAGGTACATTTCGATTTTAATGGTTTAAACAGGTCCAAAAAAAGTTAAATGGTCATTTAAAATGACATGCAAAACTTTGATGTGCCTTTATGTCAATAACCCTTTCAACTTTTTTCCCATTAAGTCTTGTATAGATAAAGTGTCTGAATGAGTAACAATGTATTTATGGATAATCACGTATACATAAGATCTATTTCTTTTATTTTCTAAGACTGAATAAAACTATTAAATAATACTAAATGATCATGTTACCTTACATTTCAACAAACAATTTCTACAATATTCATCGGTTTTAATGTGAGAGGTTGGGTGGAAAAGGTAAGAGCATATATATATATATATATATATATATATATATATATATATATATATATACACACACACACACACGTGTGTGTCGTAAAGGGTAAGTCAGTTTTGGCTTAACCCATAAAGCTCATTAAGTAAAAATTAAAAAAATTAAAAAAAAAAAAAAAACAGCCCCTTATAGAGCATAAAAGGTGTATAATACCATGCATGTTAATGTAGCTGCTCAGAGCGGATCAACTAAATTGAGCATTGACAAAGTTTCGGAAACTGTTCTGTTGATTTTCCATCAAATTCAAAACATTCCACTACGATCTGTCTTAGAACTTCCTTGCTTATTAGCACTCATTGTTCGAAACCAATGCCAAATCGGTTTCTAAAGAGTCTAAAATGGCCATACTACCCCCACAACAGGGACAAACCGGAGAAGATTTGTGTCTTGAAACAAATGACATAAGTTTCATTCTTTTGAAAAACATAAACGACATAAAGGTGTAGAAGAAACGACATAAATGTGTACAAGAAACAAACGACATAAGTTTCATTCTTGGGGAGTTGCAATTGGTAAAGGAAAACATCAAACACAATGAGAGTGGTGGGTTATGTTTCTAAAACAATTTTCTATGCACTAACAATAAGGAAATCTAAAAACTGTTGGGTATTAAACTTGAATAAAATGTTGAATCATCTGCCTCCACCGTCCTACAAACAATGTGCACTTTCAGAAGCTGCAGGAACTACGCCTTTCCAACTTTCTTTCTTTCTTTTTACCATCATTGCGCCTTTCCAACTTTCTTTCTTTCTCGTTACCATCATTACTTTGAGTGAAAGTGAGAAAAGGATATCCACACTTTTGTCCATGTTTTGTGGTCAGTGTCCCAAGAGGTACGCCTTACCATCTTTGAAGTTATGGCTTAACTGAATTTCTTCATCATACAATCTTTATAAGACTGCTTGTGGTTTGCTTCTAGTATTCAGGGTTATCATCTCATGTTCTATGCCACCAGCATTGATTTCCACATTAACAGTCTTCTCCTTGGTTTGCTTGTCAATACCAATAAGTGAAGCCTGCATACATTAGTAGAAAAAATTTCAGTCTTTAATTGTTAATCAAGAGGAAAATGAACATATGGATGCATATACCATACATGTCTGATATGTAAAATATTTTCTAGATCAAGCTTCACAGAAATTGTTTCACCACTTTTAATATCGACTCATGAATAACGAGTTTGCAAAAAACAATGAATGTAAGTAAAACTTAAACACCAGATTGTGGCAAAGTGTACCACTCCTGAATGCAAGCAATCTTATAAATCCAAGCCGTTTCAAACAAGGCAGGCTTGAGTAACGTGTAGATACATAAATACACAAACAGACAGAAAAAATCCAATTGATATACATGTATTAGCACATAAGTAGTCTACCTAAAAACAAAGTTCTAGGCCTATGGAAAAGATATATTCCAATAACAAACAGCTCAGCTGTGCATTCCAATTAACTTCCACCAGCAACAAAGACAATCAAATTGAAAATAACATACATACATACCAAGCATCTAATATCCATATGAAACATAAACAAATATAATGAAGAGAGACATTTGTTACCCCAAAACTTCATTGTCTTAACCATAGTTACCTAATTCGTGGTTCGCTCCGGTACGGAGGGGTATAGGTTCATTTTGGAACGATCCGGTATGGTGTGCCATTTAGTCCAGTACGGTGTTACAAATTCCAAAACCAAAACATGAACTTTGAGTTAATTTGGTGAAATAAAAATAGAACAGAAACTGAAGAAGAATAAGAAGAATGAAGAAGGAGAAGGGTAGAAGTGTAGAACGGATTTGGACAATGGAATTCAATATGTATTTGTAGATATATATATATACATGTTAGTGCTTGTGTGGTACGTGCGGACTTTGTAGAAATCGGGAATTGGAACAGTTGTATAGACTACACAAACAATCATTCTAGAAGATGATTTCAAATTAAGTATTATATACACAATCATATTACTAGGAATAAGAAATTGAACATTAGTGTGTAAGATGGTTCACTAAATTAGAAGAATTAAGAGTCTAAGAGTCGATGTGGAAACAGTCGGCACTTTCCCGTCATTCCAAGAATCGGCATACCAATATCAACATACTAATTTCAGAAATTAAACCCAAAATCGTATTTTGGAACTATTGGATTAATTCCGGTTTCTGATTGGGAACTACCTCATCGTACCGGTTGGCGATCCAGGTCACGTTCGGAATGCTTTCGTACCCAATTTGGTACGAAACGATTTGGTACGCAGTTCGTGGCCTTCTGAGCGAATTAGGTAATCCGCACAAGAGTTGTATTTGCCAATTGATAAAAAAATCTCATTAACCCATACGTTGATATAATAGTCTTTATTTGTATGGAGTTATATACGAAAAGGATCCCGATGATGAAAAGAAAGATAAACCAACGGTGGAAAAAGCAAATTCTGCTTATCCACATACTTGCAAAAAGTATTCAATCATGAGTTTTTGGGGTAAGGAATAATATCTCTCTCTCTCTCTCTCTCATTTCTATTTGAGCATATCATATGTGTTTTCTTATTCTAATTTGATGTTTTTGTAAAATTGTAATTAAGGGGCTGAAGTGAAACGCGGTCAAAGGCTTCATGTTAAGCTTGATCAAGAGAATTATTTGAGTCTTAAACTGGTATGTACATGCCATTTTGGTTTTGTTTTGCATTAACATTAAATGAACTTGTTATTTGTTTAATTCATGCATACAGGCTTCTCTTGTGTGTATTGGAAATCATGAAGAAAATGAGTCTGTATGTTTGGAAGTCGATACATGTAACAAAACAATTCAACTGGCAAGGCTTCATCTTGAGAGGCTGCCACAATAAGCAATGGACCTAAAGTTCGATGAAGACATCATTTTAAGTCACGATGCAAAGAATGGAACAAACAATGGAACAGTATACCTATGTGGGTTCCAAAGAAAACCACGCGTGCAAAGATATCCACCTTTTCACGAACCTAATTTTGCAAAGGTTAGTTTGACAATTTTAATTCAGAATTCAAATACATACAATTATGAATCATTAAATTGTGTTGTTTTGATATATAATGTGTGAATATTTATTGACAGAAAGAAGCAACTTTGGCTTCTGAATGTGCACGTGCATGAAGCAAGGTTACTTAACCTTGTTGCATGCACATGAACATTCAGAAGCCAAAGTTGCATCTTTCTGTCAATAAGTATTCACACATTATATATCAAAACAACACAATTCAATGATTCATAATTGTATTTATTTGAAATTCTGAATTAAAATTGTCAAAGTAACCTTTGCAAAATTAGGTTCGTGAAAAGGTGGATATTTTTGCACGCGTGGTTTTCTTTGGAACCCACATAGGTATATTGTTCCATTCTTTGCATCATGACTTAAAATGATGTCTTCATCGAACTTTAGGTCCATTGCTTATTGTGGCAGCCTCTCAAGATGAAGCCTTGCCAGTTGAATTGTTTTGTTACATGTATCGACTTCCAAACACACAGAGACTCATTTTCTTCATTATTTCCAATACACACAAGAGAAGCATGTATGCATTAATTAAACAAATAACAAGTTCATTTAATGTTAATGCAAAACAAAACCAAAATGGCATGTACATACCAGTTTAAGACTCAAATAATTCCCTTGATCAAGCTTAACATAAAGCCTTTGACCGCGTTTCACTTCAGCCCCTTAATTACAATTTTACAAAAACATCAAATTAGAATAAGAAAACACATATGATATGCTCAAATAAAAATGATCAAATGAGAGAGAGAGAGAGAGAGACAGAGATTATTCCTTACTCCAAAAACTCATGCATTGAATATTTTCTGCAAGTATGTGGATAAACAGAAGCAGAACTTGCTTCTTCCACCGTTGGTTTATCTTTCTTTTCATCCTCGGGATCCTTTTCGTATATAACTCCATACAAATAAAGACTATTATATCTCAACGTACGGGTTAATGAGATTTTTTTTATCAATTGACAAATACAACTCTTGTTCGGAGTGCCTCCGAAGATTAAAGTTTCCAGCAACTAGCTTTTTTCCATCAATAGTTATATGCAAAGAAACAGAATCCTCATGAATATTCTCCTTAGGTACTCCAAGATAAACCTGAGTAGAATTCATTTTTTAGTTAGTTAAATGTTAATGAACAGCAAAATAAAGATATCCCCTGTTCCAGTAATACCTTTAATATTAACAAAATCATGCCCTCAGCAATGTCTGCTTCAAATCGTTCACCAGCTCTCACCTCACAACCTAAATCACACAATATGATCACCATATTAACAACCTCCCAAAGAGGCCATTGTTGCAGAGAAGTATGTAGAGCTTTCGTGAGACAAACGTTGTGTGCATCAGCAGTTAGGGCACAAAACAAACAGCTAATGGAGAATACGTATTTTGATTACATACGGGTGCTATTCGCCTAAGGGGCTGTTTGGTAGGATCTGAAATTTTAAGATCTGAAACTTTAAGATGTCTGAATTTTCAAGAGGATCTGAATTTTTAAGATCTGAATTTTTAACAAGCTATTTGGTTGGAACCTCTAAATTGTTGTGCTGAATAATGAAAATGACAATTTTACCCTTGTATATTATTTTTAAAATAATTTGACATTTTCTTAAATAATTATAAAAAAAATATAGACACCCTACAAAATCCAATACATGAAAACACATACAAGTATACAACTATAACAAACATGACTTCTCTTAAAGAACTCTATAAAAAAAAATATAAACATCCTACAAAATCCAATACATGAAAACACATACAAGTATACAAAATGCTATAATTGGAAGAACTCTATCACCAGAAACCAGCATTACCATAACCAGTGTTACCATATGCACCACCATAGTCACCACCACCATAACTTCTCTTAAAGAACTCTATAAACAATGTTTTTATGACAAATGAGATGATATGCAATCCCTTGAGACGAATATTTCAAGTATGAAATGTTTTAAATCAAAAAATTTGCAGCAGCACACAATAGACAATAGGCAACAACTATGAAATCCACTTCCAAAACCAATTACATGACCAGGGGCAACATCTACATGAGGAAATCAACCACCAAGCTATAATTTTGACTTTATATGAATCAAAAAACAACATCAGATCAAAATTGAAATATAACCTAACAAATAACAATAACTTTGATGAACAGGGGCTACAACATAAGGGGTGGGATCGACAAAATCAAGCCAAAATTTTTTGATGGAGAGAGCGACACCAATCAAAGGCAAACCGACCATTGTGCTTGAATGCTTGTTTGAGATTGGAATTGAACCATAATAATCGAGTTTTACGAAAAAAAAAATTACCATGAGCTGTGTTGTTGATGAGGGACCTGGAGGGCTTCGCTTCGGGTGGCGATGGCGGTACTGGAGGAGGCGGTGGCCTGCTGATGGCGGAAGAGCCGGCCGACTGATTCCAGAACGGAGATGGAGTCGTCGTGTGTATTGAAAGAGAAGAGGGAAAGTGGGGCTGAAATATCAAGGGCAAATCTGCAGGCGATGCAACTGGAGCTGGAGACGAAGGCGGCACAGGCGGCGGCGGCGACAGAGGTGATCGGAGTTGCAACAGATTTGGGGTAGACGAGAGGCGTCGATGATTGTTGAGATGGAAAAAGAGGCTGTGTCGTGAAATAGAAGGGATTCGTTTTGGGCAAAACAGGAAACGCGTCCCCTTATTTTTTTTATTTTTTTATCTTTTTCGGATACAATCACAGTTTGAGAAATTAAGAAGTATTTTTGAGTTAAGGCAAAAAAATAAGATGTTATCATTAATTTTTAAGAGCTTAACCTTTTAACCTCTTAATTTTTCAATTAAAAGGTAAACAAACAGTTTTTTCTTTTTTTTTTTAACAAAAACGGAACTCTAATTTAGGGACAATCCCATAAAACCCTTGAATTTTTATAAAATATTTATTTTTTTTTAACAAAAACGGAACTCTAATTTAGGGACAATCCCATAAAAACCTTGAATTTTTATAAAATATTTTTTTTTTTTAACAAAAACGGAACTCTAATTTAGGGACAATCCCATAAAACCCTTGAATTTTTATAAAATGTTCCTTTTCTTGAGAAATGAATTTCATTACAAAAATTGTAGAGAAATGATAAGGCTGTGAGACATTAGACCTTTCTATCAAAATTTATACCATTTCATGCTTTGGTTCTTAGTGTTTAAAGGTTTGTTTGATGAAGTCCCGACAAGTAGAATAATTCAAGCTAAACCAATTTAATAAATTTGAGTAGACCGGACTATGTTGCAAAGATATAAGTATAGGAATATGTAAGCTTGAAATACGAAGACCACGTTCTAAAAATGGGCAATATAGGAGTGTCTTTCTATATATATGTGAGTATAGAAGTCTAAAACACGTATAGGAAAATTTTACTTTTTGATTTCTTCGATAACCTATTTCAAAAACCTATTGCTTTTAGATCGGATAGGACTGATTAAAAGAGTAAATTATACGAATGGTCCCTGTGGTTTGAGGTGCGTTCCTGTTGTTTGAGGTAATTTACGCGTTTGGTCTATAACTTATTTTTTTAACTCGGAAGATCCCTACTATATGTTTTTGTTACGCGTTTGGTCCCTACTGTTTTTTTTTTGTTATGTTCTTCGTCCAAATCTTACCTAAAAATATTATTATTTAAATAGGAAAAAATGATGGGGTCGGTAAGGTAAGGTGAGTGGGTGGGGTTGGGTGTGTTTATTTAAATAAATTAAAAAAATTAACAGAAAAATAGTTTTTTTAGGTAAGATATAGAGCAAGCGCGTAACAAAAACAAACAGTAGGGACCTTCCAAGTTAAAAAAATAAGTTAGGAACAAACACGCAAATTACCCTAAACCATAGGGACCATTCGTGTAATTTACTCTTAAGAAAACAAAGTTATCCAAATAATCACGTTGAAAAAATGAAATCTTTACTAGTCTAAAATGTATAAAAAAAATATTTTGGATCCAAAAAAAATTAGGTCAATTGTTATTATATCTTAATAAGATCTGTAATAATATGTTTTCATTTGTATATAAACACACGTTAATAGCCATAAATACTCAAGAAGTAAATAATCGAACAAGTATTACATTTAACAATGTATATTACTAAGCATTGAATTTTAACTACCAACAATGACCAAATAGTGAATAATAATACTAGTTTTAGAAAAGAAAACAATTGAATAGGGACATCTACGTTTTTCGTTATATTTTATTATAAAGTATATCAAATACTAATTACATAAAATTATGACGTATTTGTAATTATTATAAAAATCACTCAAATCATATGCATCCTTGGATTCATAAATAACAAATGCGTATTTCATTACATTTTTAGGATCGTATCCATTCTTCATTTGTCTTGGCTTATCATCAATGTACCATGTAGCCAAATTGTATAATATGATTCTATATGATTTAATTTTCATAGTACCTTAACTTATTTAGTTATGTTTATGTAGATTTGTGTTTAAAGTTTATTGATCCAATGGATATGTGTCACATGAACTAAAATTAAGTTTGCATTTGTATCAAGTGAACTCGTAACTAAAGACTAGTAGCACATGGTCACATCACCGTAACGTTTATGGGCGTGTTCAGCAAAATTAGCTTGTAGCGAGTAGCTTGTAGTGGGTAGCGGGTAGCTTGTAGCTTGTAGCGTTTTGTTAAACGCTACATGAAGTAACATTTGGATTTAGAGCGTTTTGTTTAAACTAAACGCTAGAAGCTTGTAGTGTCGAACGAGACTTTCTGTTAAAAACAGAGTGTTTTGTCAAACGCTAGAAGATAGAAGCTCTCAAACGCTCACAAACGCTCTGTGTCGAACACGCCCTTAGGCTAAGGGAGTGGTAGCACTCCTAGCACATTGCTACATCATTTTTTTTACTGTGATGTCATTTTTTTGTTTATCACCTTGCTAACACATTTTTCTTACCATTTCATAATGAATGGTAGAACCCTAGCACTTTAACATTTTTTTATTTTTCTTTTTCAAATTTATACAAATTATATATTTTTAAATACACAAACATTTTCATATTACATAAATTATATTTTTCTAAAACACAAACACTTAATATTAAATAAGTTATAGTTTTTTAAACACATGCAATTCATATTAAATTAAAAAGTTACAATACATTAAAAAAATGGAAGGTTTGTTTTAAAAATAAAATGGTTAATTGTGATTTAAATTCGAGTCAACGGTCAAAAACCCAATAGCCAATCAAATCCCTCCAGCCCTTTCTCTCTCCTCTCGCTGAGCTCCTAACGAGTTGATGGTGGCAAGCTCCCTGGCACGCGACACGACAGGGACGGTGTATAGCACAACTAGCGAGGGCTAGTGACCCTGTAACATCCTAACTCCCAGGTATAAGAATTTTATCTAAAAATGACAATTTGCTTTGAAACTCGTCGAGTTGATGGTCTCAACTCGACGTGTAGGAAGCTCTCTACTCGACGAGTTGTTTAGAAAAACTCGACGAGTTGACGGCTGGACGTGAAACCCTAGTTTTCAGGGTTTTGCACCCTATTTAAAGAACTTATGGATCATTTGTAGCCTCCCTCATCGCCCCTTGTCCAGAGAAACCCTAAATTCATGCTAACCTTCCATTGTGAGAGTGTGTAAGCCTAAAGAGTGTGTTTGGTGCATTTCTTGAAGGTTGGAGAAATTGGATTAAGAAAGAGGTTGTAGATCCGGCATCTCTTCTGTTTTGGCATCCATATTGAGGTATAAAGCTGCTACCTTGACCTCTTATAGCTTAGATCTCCTCTTATGAAAGAATATGGTTATTTTTTGTGCATGTTGGAGCCATTCTCAAATTTGAGCTTATCATAAGGACATGGCTTCAGATCTGTACTCCTCTAGGCCTCCATGGACATAAAACTATCAACTTTAGCTAGCCTTAGCCCTCTTCCATGCCCTAAACCTCTTATTAAGCTTAGTTTTAGTGTTTAAGCCTCTTGAGGCCTTGCATGCACGTAAAGTTAGCAACTTTACGTGGTATTTCAGTCCTAAGGGACTAGATCTGTAGTTTGGGTCTTTAGATTCGACTGGAAAGAGCCGAATATGTTAAGACAGGAAAACTCGACGAGTTGCCTTGCCAACTCGACGAGTTGGATCGGGTTTTCCCGCTTTCTTGATGCTAAGTGAACTCGACGAATGGGTGAGATAACTCGGCGAGTTGGTCAGGGTTTTCCCCATTTTTCTTAGCACTGAAGAACTCGACGAGTTGCTCTGGGAACTCGGCGACTTGCCTCGAGCTGTTCCCGATTTTATGAGATATGAAGGAACTCGACGAGTCAGAAGATACACTCGACGAGTTGGGTCAACATGGACTGTTGACCTTGATTGTTTACTTTGACTTTGACCACGGTTGACCGAGTTTGACTTTAAGGGTATTTTTGGCATTCTGGAATTTTAATAAAGGTGGTAATATGGTGATTGTATGAGGTTGATTTTGGAGCTGTATTTTGGGAGATTGACCTTATCATTTAGTGCTACTTGTGATGTGAGTTCTTCTCACTATACTGACAGGGTCTACAACACCAAGGTCGACCCTTTGGATTGTATCCTGGTTATTGTATTATTATATGATTGATGATCTGTTAGATCTGTATCCTAGGGTATAGGATGATGCCATGTTTGATGATCAGTTAGATCTGTATCCTAGGATGATGCCTCGATTGGTGATCTGTTAGGCCTATATGATTATTGTGTGTGCTAACCAGCGTTTGATATCTATGTGATGATTGTGTTGTGGGAGGGTTGAGGCAGTCCTGCTTTGTGCTGAAGGCTAACAGACCCAGGGTGGCCCCGATAAACTGAAGGCCCAATGGGGCATACCAGTCAAGCCGAAGGCCCGGAGAACGGTCCAGATAGGTTGAAGGCCTAGTAGGGCGGTCCAGTCCTGCTGAAGGTTCTGAGAGTGGGCCAAATAGACTGAAGGCCCAGTGAGGCGGTCCAGTCATGCTGAAGACTCTATATGCATACTATTTGTTTATGACATTGTTCTGTTTATGTGGTGTTTGTATTTGGGGGAACTCACTAAGCTCCGGGCTTACAGTTGTAGATTTTGTTTCAGGTACTTCGGATGATCGCGGGAAGGCGAAGGTGTGATCGTGCACCTCCTCACCTTTTATGATTTTGATTTCTGGGAAACTCTGATATTGGATTATTTTGAAAACAATTTGTAAAATAATAATGGGTTGGATGTATTTGCAAACAATTAATGATTTTTGGGTGTTTTGAAAAGTTAAAACTTTTTGTGAATTTTATAGATGTCACAAGTTGGTATCGGAGCCTTGGTTTGAGTGAATTAGAGGAACACTCGTGTGAATACAGTTTCAAACTAAGGAAAAGATTTTCAAATGGTTTTCAAAATACAAAAGGAGGATGCGAAGTGTACGATCAGTCGGAGCCAGTAAGTAGACCCCAAAATACCATGTTATTACTTGATATTGTGATATGATAGAACAGTATGCTAGTGCTAGACTACGGATCTTCAGGAATTGCATGATAGAATTGTCTGATTATATGATGTCTGATAGCCTAGGGTTTCTTCTTTATATGGAATTGACATCATTATTCTAGTTGCTTAGTGTATGCATCATAGTTGTACATAACTAAGATCTTATTGCCTGAGAATGTTTGGTTTGGCCTTATTTCTTGTTCTTGTCTGATGAAGGGCTTAGGGTAGGATTAGATATTCGAATGTCTATAGGGTCCAACGTTATGCATGACTAGCATACACGAGTGTTGCAGGGTTGGTGGAAGTTTCATGGATGAGTTGTGTGGGGTCAGTCGGCCAATTATACGATATTTAGCCCTCCTCTAGGAGTGAGGATTGAGCGTTCGCCTATGTTTACGAGTATTATTAGGGCCTTGTGATGATCCTTGAGACAAATATGGGTAGGTGTGGAAGGTAGTATGGGCCCGTACTATTGAAAGCACATGACCCATATGTGTAGCAAGGAAGTCACAAACCCCTAGGGCTTTGTTGGGAGTTGGTTCCCTGTTATTTATGCGGAGTAGCTGATATCTTTCTGGTGTATTTTTAGAATGGTGACTACGAGGCGATTAGAGACCGGATCTGAATCGGGATCAGGAGCTGGCAGTCGGGCGGGCCAACCTTGCCATAGACCGTCGGTCAGATG